TTTTTTTTTTTTTTTTTTTTTTTTTTTTTGCAAAACCTCATATCCTTACCTTGATTTGGTTGAATCAACCATTTTCATACTTGTATTCATAGACCAAACTGGACATTTTACACAACAGACCACCTGCTGAGGCTTTCTTTTTCTTTTAAGCAAAGATAGCAAAGTGTCTTCACTGAAAGCAATGTGGAAAACCTGACACCATTTGTTTATTCATTCCATAAATATTTGTTGTTAAGTACTATCACATTTTAGACCCTATGCTTGGGCTGGGCTAACTGGAATCAAAAATAGATGTGGTCCCTTCTCTCCTAGAACTTTCTTAGCAGTAGGAAAGAAAAATATCCATCATGTAGACAAAATCAAATCATAGCTTCATTAAGTGCTATAAAGGAGAGTTGCAAGGGGTTATGAAAGTATGTAACTGAGAATTGGTATGGTCCAGGGGTCAAGGCGGGTTTCTTTAAGGGAGCGACAACTGAACTGAAATCTGAACAACTAACTAGGCCAAAGGGTTGGCCAGAGGGGCTCGGGCAGCAGCAAGAGCCAGACTGCCTTGTGCTGTAGGAAGCACAGTGAGCACACAAAGTCTAGGGGGACTGGAACAGGGACAGAAAGAATAGGTTATTCATAAAGTAGATTATACATGAAGGAGGCAGGACGGGGCTTTGTAGATCATATTAAGGCATTTTTTTTTCCTCTTCATCCTCAGAGCATCAAAAGTCATCCAAGAGTTTTGAGCATGGGGTCCGGATGGTAGAATAACAAGATCAGGTTCATGCTATGATGTGAGGATAATTTGGGAGTAAGGGCTGCCATGCTGGTGGGAGACATACAAGGTCAGACCAGTTAAGAAGCTATCGCAGCAGTCCAGGAGAGAGATGATGGGAAGTTAGACAGACCTGTGGTAGGGGAGATGAAGAGAAATGGACAGAGGGAGAAGTGTAGTAAGTAAAATTAAATAGTTCCTGATGACAGTCTGGATTTGAAAGGAAAGGAAGGATCTGGTTAAGAATGAGTCCTAAATTTCTGGCTTACAAAACTGAACAGGTTGTGGGTAATAGTGCTTTTCTCTTTGAGGAGGATATGGCAAGGAATCCAGGAAGAGGAGCGGGTTAGGGGTGGGACTGGAAGGGAAGGGATAGCTAATGAGATTATTTTTGGACATCACTGATTGGGAGAGGATTTTGACTTACTAAAGAGATGTGGAGGAGGTGTCCAGGCCACTAGAGATTAAGTGGAGAGAAACACAGCTCAGAAAACGTCTTTATCCAGCAAAGGTGATCTTTAAGTATGTACGGATCCATCGACCTCTCAATATATAGGAAACGTTCTCTCATCATTAGCTAATGACAAAGGAAATGTTTTTTAGGTTGTCCATGATACTGAACATAGGGAGCTCTTATTAAATAGCTGAAGCACCAATAAGCTTGTGTTACCTGTAACTTCAGTTCCCAGTACACAGTCAGGCAGTGGACGTGTGCTGTGTGTTTTAAAGCACCTTGTTTTTATGTATTTTGCAATTTATCTATCTGCCTTTTTCCCAACTATGTAAGAAGGCAGTTGCTTAAATTAAGCTGGGAACAACCTAGCCTAGAACATGTCTCATATTTCCTTTGGTGATATTTTTGGCAAATTTCGTTGGAAGTCTCCTAAGATTTTTTTGGTAGCAATCCACTATTATTGTTGTGTTTCATGATTGCTTTGCCTATCCCTTGATTTAATAATAATTCTTAGATTTGCTTCTGAAATCCACTCTCTGCCTTTCTAACCCACTGTAAAACAATTCTATGCCCAGTCCAAGAACAGAGTCACGCTCCAAACTCAATATTGGCAAAACAATAGTAAGGGCTGCCATTCATTAAGTGATTTTTATTTGCCAGGCATTCTGTAAACTTTATTCAATTTAATCTTAACAAAGACCCAATGGGATAGGTAAATTATGAGACCATGTGTGCTGAAGAAAAAGAAGCACAGTGATGTTAAACACTGACTCAATAGAAAACTGATTATATTATCCTGTTATTTCCTATTCTAAAATTAATTGATTATCCCTCCTAGGCATTGGGAAAGACAATCTCTGTACCTATAGGGAGTCGTACCTTTCTGGAGTTTGGTACTGTGTGCAATGGGTTTTTAACAGCTGGGAGACTATAATTCTATCTGAGAACCAGAAGATTTATTGTGGTGAACTTTGAGGCACATTATACATGTGATGAATGTTAGGAAAAGCCGCACACCTACAGGAACCTTCTATATGAGGCAGTAATATATTCTGATACTGTAATTTTTATTCAGCTACTTTTATGCTTTTTCTTTAATAGGCTGAAGAAGAAAAGAAGAAGCAAAAAAAAAAGCATTCTTCTATTGATTCATCCCTTTTTTTTTTTATTGTGCTTAGTGTTGGAAGTTGGAGAGGCAGTCATTCGAGTGGGTGTCATGGCTTGGTTTGTCATTGATAAGTGAAAACATGCAACTTTCCCTTTTGGTGAAGATATAAACAGAAGACATTTGGATATCATTGCTCCTTTCAAATGAATACCAAGCAAAAACATAATGGGATTCTAAGGTGATCTGATCTTAGCCTCTCTGTACGGAAAATATTTAGAAACTCAGAAATATGTCACACGAACCTAATTAAAGAATCATAGCAGTGTGGACCAGTTTGCTAAAAAAAAATCTGAGAAGACCAAATGAAGAAACAGTTGTATATTTTAATTATAATTCCTCTAGTATATTAACTTTTATGATTTTTAAAATATCATTGGCTATACTTGTCTAAGGTTTAGCTATCCAAAAATCTGAAATTAGCTCTCCAAAAACATTAGCTATCCAAAAATAATCACTCGGATACTTGAAATTTCACTTTTAATGTAACATTTGTCTTGAAATATTAATATCTCTGGAGTAAGTAATAAAATAAATATAGTTAGATTGATTCCATTATTTTGACTGGGGCCATAGGAGGGTCGCTGGCACAGAGAGGAGTCAAAAGAGGAAAACAAGGAGTGTTACAAACTTCATTTTGGCTTTGACTGGAGGAGGTCCTCTGTGAGTGGCAGTGAACTATCTATTGAGTAAGAAGAGAGAAGGTAGCATCTGTCAAGACACTTTCCAAAGTCCTCCCCATGGATATCATATACAAAACCACAGGAAACTCATTGGACATGGAACTTAGTAGTTTCCTTTTTCCTTATTTGAGAACAAGCAGCCTAGAAGTTTCTCTTTCCACTGCATCTCCAAGTCATTCCAGGGTGTTTCTCTAGGTTCCAAATAGAGAACTCACTTATGCAATGGCACCCTTTCTGATGGGGCCTTTCTAGTGAGAGGTTAGTAAACAGAAACATACACTAACCTCTTCTTGATGTTCCCTTTTGATAAATATTTTGGAAACAAAAAAGAATAGGAATTTAGTTTCTCATTATAAAATTGCTTCTTATTGAGTAATCTGCCTCTTAATCAAATTATGAGTTAGACACATTGGAAAGTAGTACATACAATTAGATGTGTAGAAGAAGTCCAATTCTATTTGGGGGTTCAGGTGTCTTTTTTGTTGGTGGAGTTGGTGTTCCAAACTTTGTCAAAAAAACAATCAATAGAGAAAGCTAAATGAATAAAATGCTTGTTCCTAGAAGAAATAGCTAGCTTTAGATTTCTGAATTACAGAGAATAGTCTGTTTTCCCCGTCAAGCCCATTCAAACATGTCATACTCTTCACAGTAATCAAGGCAGTCATCTTAATACTATACTCTTTTCCAAATTAAGTGCTTAGATTTCATCATCTGCACCACATTGTTGAACAATTACATTAGGCTTTATTCCCATTTCACGTATATCTGTAAAACGCATTAGGCAGCCACTTCTATTCGAAAGAGCCTTGGCATTTCAGTTTGCCTCTGGGTTATATCTCCCTGGCTTCTACTACCTGGTTCTAGGAAATTTAATTTAGCTTTCACAGCTTTGACTGGCTCTCCATCTCAACGTTTTTTCAACCTTGATTGTTCTCTTTCTTCTTTCTGAGATCAAGGGTCTGTCTCCACTCTGGCACCATTTACAATTACTTCCCAGAGTTATATAGTTTTCCCAATTTTTCAGTCACGAATGTGTTTCTTGAGTGATGCTTGGTTGTTTGCTCTCTGTCCTCATAAAACAAGAGTTGCCAGGTGGTAACTCTTCCTTTAATAATCAACCTTTTAAAAAATCTCTATCTAAATTTTCTTCACCTGAAATCTTATGTTTATGGTCATGCTTTATTCACTTAGTGACTCACCCATGGGACATAAGTCTCCACCTTCACCTCCCACCATGTTCCTCATATCCCTTCAACAGTCTTGTGATTTACTAACCTCTAGGTGACTATCCCAAATGCTCTAGAAGATATAAAGGATTGAGGGTTTGTGAGAGATGGTTGGCACAGGCTGTTATATCAAATCTACAGTTTCCAAACTTTTCGAATGTGTCTTTTAACTATTTTGTCACACTATAGTTCTTTATTAGATGGGTCAGAGTCTGGGCATCATGGTATTTTTTTAACCCCATTTATCCCTACAGAACTTTTCTGTTAGACTCTGGAGAGATTGCTCAAAAGCATGGTGAGTGCAAGTGCTTCTGGAAAGTATCCCTAAATGGAGTCCTGCTCCAAAGCCAAATGAAAAATTTTGATATTTGCCAAATACTTGTCATGACATCTGCACAACCCATTTTGACAAGCATAGAAAAAAGACACCTAACTGTAGTGATGGAGACTGAGAGACTGTGCTTTAGCCCTAGGGTAAATGTAATACAGTTAAGAATATGTTCTTTCAAAATACTGCTGGTATTTTAATTGTAATGGAACAATTAAACATGTGTAACCAAACATTTACATTCTTCCTAT